TCGTCCTCAGAGCAGGCCTGGCAGGAGCGAGTGGGTGATGTCAGGTGGGCAAAGGAAGAACAAGGACAGAGATGAGGACGTGCGTTCATGTGGGCACTGATGATGGCCGGGAGCAGGCTCAAGAGGGAGGCTCCCTGTGCACAGGGCACAGCCAGCTCCACAGTCGCCCATCTCCCAGGAGAACCCACTCTGCAGGACCCCGGGACATGGCCCTGTCTGTTCTGGTCTCCCCTCACCCTGTGGTGCAGGCTCTGGTCTCAAGGGACAGGTTCAGCCCAGGCTGGGGCTCCAGACAGAACTCCTGGATCCTGTCCTTAGGAAGCGCTGTATCCAAAAGTCAGGCTCTCGTGACTGGAGCCAAAAGCCAATTAGTAACAGTTTAGCTTCATCAACTTCCTGACTGAATGCAAGTTTTAATTAAACATCCCATTTTAATTACTCAGGCATCACATACAGTAAGCTTGCCTCAAGTTTTAAAGGCCGTAGGTCTTTTGCTTTAATTAAAATAAAGAAGCACAGGACTTCAGCATCTGTGACAGCTCCTCATCATTTTGAGGGTACAAGCAGAACAGCTGGGAGCAGCAGCTTTTCTTGCTGTGGCTTATTCCTCTTCTCTTTTACCTCCTATGGATGCTCCAGCAGAGGAATTTGCTGTGAGATTACTTGGTTGAAAGGAGAGAAAAAACGAGCTGGTTGCAACTTTTGGGAGTCATAGGAGGTACTGGGCTTTCAGTGCAATGCCAAGAGCAATTTTGGGCTGTTTTTTCTGTCTTGGGGTGACAGGCAGCACCTAGCACATGTGTGACTGATGAGGAGGTGCAGACATCTGAAATCTTAGGGGCAAGTGGCCTTAGAAGCAGGCAGATTTTGCACCACCCAGAGAAAGTAGCTGTCACAGGGCACACGTTTAAGCTGTGAACTCCTTGTTGCAGGACTTTGTGGATGATCAGAGAATCATGGAATCACAGAGGAAAGGACCTTACGGGCATCCAGTTCCAACCCCCCTGGGCACTGGCACAGGTTGCCCGGAGAAGCTGTGGCTGCCCCATCCCTGGCAGTGTTCAAGGCCAGGTTGGACAGGGCTTGGAGCAACCTGGTCTACTGGAAGGTGTCCCTGCCTGTGGGAGGGGGTTGGAACTGGGTGATCTTTAAGGGCCTTTCCAGCCCAAACCATTCTAGGATTCCATGTGGGTGCAGCCCTTGCTGGCTGGGTACAGAGCTCAGAGCAGGGATTCTAGCTGGCCAGGTGACCTGGGCTCCAATTGGGTTTTGGCTTGCAGAGGAGCCCTCCTCTGCTGAGCAGAGCAGGAGAATGGTGTCTCTCCTGACTACTCCATCTTGTCCAGTGTCAGAGCCTGAAAGCAAGTGGAGGTTTGAAATGGGAGCAACTGCTCCTTGCTGTTGTTGGTGGCCAGCACTGGCTAACTTTGGGCTTTTCTTGGTATGCCAGATGGAGCTGTCACACAGAGCTGGCTTCATGACTCCAATGCCAAGCAGGACCCAGTGCCTCCTAAAATAACAAGCCCATCTCCCTCCTCACCTCAAGGTAAACCTGGAGGAGCTCCACTGCTGGCAGCTGTGTTACACAGCAGGAGAAGCAGATCAGCTCTGTCTGAGAAATGATGCTGTGTTTAAAATGGTGCTTTTCTCTGTTTCTTGGAGCCCGCTCAGCCCTTCTGAGCCATCAGCCTTCTGCCCAACTGTGCTCATCCGTGCCCTGGGACAAGGGAGAATCAGAGAGTGACAGAAATCCCTTTGTCAGCCTGCCTGGGAAGGAGGGTTACAGAGCTATTAGTGAGCACAAAGAAGGGATGGATTCTCTTCTAAGTGCTCTGGGGACAGATTTAAATGCTTAGCTCCCATTAATGTTAATGTGAGTTACAGAGGTCTCTTCATACTGCCTTGAAACAAGAGCATTGAAAAAGAGGCCAGCTTTCCGCAAAGAACAAATTCACTTGATTTTAAGAGCCACTAAATGAGATTTTTCTTCATTTCACACTCATTAATTCCTCTGCCTGTGATAGCTTGGTGTGGGATTCTGCTCCAGTCCAGCACATGCAGGCTGGCTGGCGCGCTGCACACTGGAGGACAACAGGTCTCCATCCACCATCCACCCTGCACTGAGGGGACAGTGGTCCCCAGAACTGGGTTTCTGGCCCCAAGAAGCACCAATGATTTTGTTCCCACATGGAGATGCAAAGCACAACGTTCCAGCTTTTCACAGGGAGGGGAAATCCCTCCAGTGTGTGTCAGAAACATTAACAGCATCTTGCTTCCTGATAGCTGGTAGAGCACCTCCAGAAGACAAGGTCTGAGGTCCTTCTGACCCCCTGCTCCCAGATGGAGGACTCCTCCTGAGTGTCCGTCTCCTGCTCCTTCTATATAGATCCCGCAGAACCTGTGATTCTGCCTTCTGTGTCTGGTGATGAAATCCTTCTCCGAGGTGACAGACTGCATTAAAGCTTGGGTTTGCTTCAAGGGTCATTGGAGGTACCTGTAGAATTTACAAACCCAATCAGTCATTTAATTTCTCTCTGCAGCCTCTGACTTATTAACATAATAACAGAAACCAGAAGGGCTTTGTTTTTCTGTGACATATGGCTATGAATCACATTGTCACTGCGCCTGCAGCACTGCCCTTAATGAATACATTCAGGCATGCCCATGAGTCCCTGCACACATTCCCATGCGCGCTCCACTGTTGTATAGCATTAATTAACCTTGTTTAACGGGCTGACTGTGATGGCTTGCAGCTCAGAGTCCCCAGCGGGTTGACTCTTGCCATAAGCAGCAGGGATACAGGAGGAGAGCTGGGCAAATGTTTGTTTCAAAGGGGATGTGTCCAGGAACATGTCTGAACTCTGGGAGAGTCTTGTCATGGTGGGGACCCTTCCTGGAGATCAGCACAAAGCTCATGCTGATGAAAAAAGCAAACCTTAGAGCTCCTATGTCCAGTGAGAACCGTATGTATGGGAACACCAGGTTTGCTCAAGCGATGCTAGCACATCACTGTGAGCTGGGCATCCCATTCTCCATGCTGGGGATAAGGCACGGGTCAGGGTGTCCACTGTGCACCTCCCCAACCTTACAATTGTGGTGAAAATACAGTTTCCTGAGTAGTTCATGCCCCCCACCTGCAGGCACTGGTGGCATTGAGAACACCTTGAGCAGAGGGAAGGGCTGAGCTGGGGAGTGGGATGCTCTGTAAGACCACAGGGAGAGATGCACTGAAGGTGATGGACCATCCTTTTCATTTTGTGGACAGGCTCAAAGCTTGTTGTGCCATTGAAGACATTGTGCTGCGAGGTTGGGAGTGTTCAGGGTGAAGGAGCTACGTGTGGACAGTGCGCACTGGCATCACAGAGCTCTTACTAAATTTCAAGAGCACATTTTAAATGCTTTCCCATTAGGAAAGACTCAAAGAGTTATTTTGATATATAATCCCCTTTCTGGGATGTATATTGATAGGAAAAGAAAAAGCCTTCTGAAGACTTTATTAAAGGAAAAAACCCCAGCATGCTGCAGGTTTAATGAGGAGCTTGTAAACATAACAAACTCCTGCTGATCTTCTCTCAGTTGCCTGTGTTGCTGAAGGCCAGGACCCTGCAGTTCTCAGCAAACCACCTTGCTGGGTTTAACATGTCTTCCTAAATCTGGGAGGGCTGGAGCCATGCATGGCTGCAGAGGGCAAGCATGGGGCAGGGCGAGGGAGGCTTTCACATGGGCGCAGTGGAGAGGATGAGGCAGGGCTGGGTGGTCCCTGGGGTGCGTGAGGCTGCCACTGGGGGAGCAGTTTGGGCTCTGGCCTCAGCTTTCCTGCAGCTTTGGCTTAGGGAGGGGAAGGAGGAAAGACAGGGAGACCTACTGAGCTGATTTAGTAATCCCATTTTTATTAGAGATGCATTTGCTGATTAGCTCCGCATCCTAATGACTTGGGCACTATAAATTACAAAGGAATTTCAGAAATCACTAGGGTTATATTAACATCTCCTGGGGAGGCGGCAGTAAGGTCATTTTCTGGGCCATTAAATGGTTGCCATTCGTTTGCTACCTCGTCTCTCTGATAGCAATGCCTCTTTTTCTCAATTTCAGCCCAGCACCATCTCAGCAGGCACCGCACACTGGTGACCTTGCATCCCTTCTCCACCATCACTCCCTTTACTCTCCTCTCCCATTTCACCTTCTCCCTCTCTCCATGCTGGCATCCAGGGGAGCAAGGCACAAGGCAGGCGCCAGCCTGATGCCAACATCCTGATCACAGGACAGATGACACATTAGGTTTTTGGAGATTTGGGCTCCCTTCTTTGTCTGCCACAAAGAAAGATCACACCTCAAAACCTGTGTGGTGTTTGCAGGCAGTTTGCAGCCCACAAAAGAGGCAAAATCCCTCTGAAAGGTAAATTGTCATGGGTGATCAACTCTTACTGAAATCACAGCAAAAGGGCAAGATTCCTGCTCAGCTCAGCACAGGCAAGAGCAGGCTGTGAGTGTGTGCTCCTATCCCTAGCACCAGAGGAGGAGGGAGCAGTATTCTGCATGGCGATGGAGGAACCAGCTTTACCTTTCAGGGAGATTTTTGGTCTGATTTGGGGTAGCCTGACCTGAGCCCTTCTGCTGATCACCTGCAGCAAACATGGGTCAGATCCTACAGGGGTGTTGGTGTCTGGCTCCCTGGAGAGCACAGATACATAGTAGGTAGTGACTGGCTCACTTCGAGACCCTGGATGGATGTGGGTTGTCCCTGATCCATGTGGATACTCATTATCTGCTTCCCAAACACAGGGCATCCATGATGATGGCTAACCCTCCTTTTCCTCTCCTTACATGCAGGGCAGCAAGGGCAGAAGAATACCTTGGTGGGTTGCTGAAGGCTGCACACTCCAGGAAGGCAGTGCTGAACTTTAGTCTATCCCCAGCCCAAATCATACACATATCAGTTCCTCCAGCATGAGGATGAGTCCAGGACATGGCAATAACCTTGCTCTTTCTTCTCCCTGCAGAGCCAGCTTTCCCAAGCCCTGAATGGGTTGTCAGACAGAGCCAAGGAAGCAAAAGAGTTCCTGGTCCAGCTCCGCAACATGGTGCAGCAAATCCAGGTACTGTATCTTCTGGCTGGGAAACAGTCAGCCCCTTCCCACCAGGATGAGTTGCTCTCTGCAGCCCTGTCCCATCTCCCCACCTTTGTTTGGTGGGTGCTGTCCCAAAGGGGCTCACCCCTGACTTTTCATGTTACTCCCCTGCACCCTCCCAAAAAATGCTCCTCCCAAAGCTGCCTGTGTCATGGAGGGAGCAGCAGAGACCCCAGTCTCTGCCATGGGTAGATCCAAGGATGTGGCAGGACAGACCAAAGCTGTTCCCCACCCGCTCCCACCACATTTGCTGTGAGCCAAGGGTGTAAGCATCCCACACGCTAATGCTATGGATTTATGAGTTGCAGTGGTGCAGCAGCACATGTAGAAATGGCTCATGTGGTATCATAGTAAAAAAATCAGGTTTCCCAACTGAAATGGAGATGTGTCCGGGCTTGTGATGCTCTGCTCTGACCCACAGGAGAACAGTGTGGAGTTCGAGGCCTGCCTGGTGGCCCAGTGTGACGCCCTCATTGATGCCCTCAACAGAAGGAAAGCCCAGTTGCTGTCCCGGGTCAACAAGGAGCACGAGCACAAGTTGAAGGTGAGCCCTTACCCACCAGCTTGAATGGTGCTTTCTGCAAGGTTGGCACCAGATGGGGATGAGGACTGGTGTTGTTTGTTGGTGTGAAGCACCATAGGAGGAGAGAGGAGGTCTGTGGAAAGCCTCTCTTCTTGTTTTCCACATTAGCTGAACTTTGTTCTGCTGCAGATGCCCAGCCTGCTGTAAAGCATGACAGGCTTCCTTCAGGTCATGGTTCTCGCTGAATTACACTACTGCTGGGCCAATTACTACTCCTTATGTCAGCAGTCATATGTACAGCATCCACAGGCTGGAAAATGACCTTGTTCATGTCCTGTGTAGCTTCTGAGCTACTAGCATGTTCCTGCAAGATGCTGAGGTGCTTGTAACTTCTGTTGGCTTCAGCTGAATTTATGTGTCACTTGGTGGCATGAGATGGCACTTCCATCATCAGGCAGGAGCAGGAATTGCTCTGTTTTCTGTATATGGTGAGCACCTCATGGCCTCAGGGTGGTGTTTGCACTGAGAAGTGAATTGATGGCGCTGGGGAAGCTGAAATGCAGCTCTCAACGTGAGCACTGAGGTCAGCTCGATGTGAGAACAGGCTCTTGACCTGTGGCATTCCTGCAGTCATGACACTGCTTCTTTTCAGATCATCTAGGGATGAGAATGGAAGCAAAGGAACAGATCTCACCTGGGAGTGGTGGAGTGGGTGTAGTAGCAGTGCCCCATGTCTGTGGGACAAGGTACTTGCACCCTGGCCATCACTGATATGGGCCAGCTGAAGCATTTCACACTGACATCACTTTGTGCTTTAGGGTGGGCATTTCCAGTGGCATTTCACTGTTCTGGCTAGAAACATCTGTGTCTTCTCTCTGGCTCCACTTGCATCCCCTTGGCCTTGCTTTTGGCCACCATCCCTCCGGAGGGGTTCCTGGACCTGCCTAAAATGAGGGAGGAGGCCACCAGTCTCCAGCCTGCCTGCAGATGGTGGGCACCACGATACAAGGGCTTGTGAATGTTTCCATCAGGATACTTGTGTTTCCAGCTTTGTGGGACCAAGCCCAGCATTAGTGCTCAATAAAGCACAACCCCAAATAGACATGCCGTGCCACCAGCCTGTCTTCTAGGTGCAGAGAAGGCCCCCACCGCCTGGTGGGCTCTTTTTCCCTCTTCCCCTTCAGGGCAGAGTTAATTGAACTCTCACAAAGCCAAGCAGCACAAAGAATTTCCCTGCTCAGCACAACCCATTGAGGCCTTTCACTTTTTGGTCAGAAGAAGGGACCTGCGTCCCATTGCTTGCTCTTACCAGCACACTTATATGTACATCCCAACCCCATCCACTGTTGTTATCAGCCGGCCTTTCCCATTAGTAGGTCTGACCCTTAAAGAAAGAAACAGCCCCTAGGCTTCACAGTGGACTCTCTTAAAATGAGGCCCCAAGCCACCCTCCCTGAAGGACCAAGCCCTTGCAGCTCCCCATGTGCCATGGGAAGGGAGCTGCATGGGTCGGAAGGGCTCTGTGTCCCTGCATGCTCCGGCAGATGTGGTACACAAGTCTGCATCCAGTTATCGGTAGCATCACAGCAGGAGGTGTTTAAAACCCAGAGTCTGCTCCCCTCTGCTCTGCAGCCTGTGGAGTGCTGGGCAGATTTTTAGCCTGAAATGATTTGGGTTTGCCTTTTAATTCTTACTGGGTTGGGAGGGGTAAGTAATAAACGCAGCAGTGCTTGCTCTTACACTTACACAGGGAGTCTTGCAGCTGTGACCCACTCGAGTGCCAGCTAGTCTTGCACACTGAGATTTGCCTCCTGTGGCTTCAGCATTGTCAGGCTGAGAACAGTGTCTGCTTGCTTCAGCATCATCTCCATACCCTCTGGTTTGGGGACAGCAACAGAGAGGGTCTTGCCTGCTTTCACAAGCTGCGGACAGGATAGGGGGTGTAGGACAGCCTCAGTCCTGTTGGGTACATCCCTACTGTCCTCAGTGGGCATGCACAGGGTCTCGCGACCACACCAGGCCACCCCAAGCCTGGCATGTGTGCCCACTTGCCACTGCCATGTCCTCCAGCATCTGGAGGAACAGTGGGGCCAGGTGCCTGCTCCACCTCCAGGACAGACCTCCTTGTCTGTCCCGCTCCTCATTGCTGACCCTGGTTTTCAGAGGATCGGTATGGTCTTCCCCAAGGGAAGATGTCCTGCAGCACAGGCTGGTTTGTGCAGGGGACACAGAGGCTTCCTTGCAACATTGTCCCAGGAAGAAATACCTCCTCCGCAGCACACGTGGACTGAGCACTGCATGCACCTCCTTTAAGCTCCTGGCAGTGCTGGTGTGCTGTTCTGGTCTTCTTCTGGCCTTCAAGTCATAGGATGCCTTTGCTTTGTGATTTCACCATGGTGCTTTGGCCACAGAGCCCTTGCAGGCAAACAGTGGTTGTCACACTTCCCAGGGGAGTTAATTACATAGGAAATGCTCACCAAGGGCTCCTGTCCGTAATGCTGGATCTCCAGAGATGAAATGCTGGTCCATGACCTTTCTTTAGGGATTACAGTCAGGATTTTCCAGAAAGCCCAAGGGAACTTGGTGTCCCTCTTGAATTAGGTCTCTGGTGATCAGGACTGGTGTGAAAGGGTGAGAGACAGGACAGAAGTACAGGCCTAGTTTCCTGCACTGCACCATTTCTATATGAAAACACCAGACAGGATACACAGGTCTGATAAACTCATTACAACGAACATTATTTCCCAAAGATGCAGATACTGCACCACTGCTTTATCTTACAAATCCCTCCACACTCTGCACTACTTTCCCCCTGCCATGGTATCTGACCACCTTGGGAAGGACATCAGCACTGGGAGCTGGGCACTGTGTTGCTCAGCAGAGCTGTGATTTTGCTGCAGGGATGTGCCTGATTCTCTGATGTCCCTCAAGCTTTCCGCTTGTTCTGTTGAAGTCTGTCCCCCACAGCATCTATGTGCCATCTTCTCCAGTGGCTCTGCACTGGAGATCAGGTCTTTGTATTGCACTTTCCCATACTTGTTGGTGCCTGCAGAAGCCTCTGATCAGAGCAAGCTGTGCAAGCCTTCAGGACGTGTTACCACCAGCATCGCACAGGGTTGTTAATGCAGCAGCTCTGCTTTTCCCAGCTCCAGCCTGAGCCTCCTCTCCCAGTAGCAAGAGGCAAGTCACCATGGAAACATCCACCTGGAAGTGCTCTGCTCAGAGGATGCCTGGTTGTAGGATTCAGCACAATCAAACTGTCGGGATCTCTCCCACAGATTTTTCCATCTGGGTTTGCAGTGCTGCGGCAAAGCACAGCACCAATGCTCTGTAACACTGCCCTCCATCCCCACAGCCATGCAGGTGACCAAACCCCATCCATGGTGTGCCCAGGGAGGCTCCATGTCCTCCATGTGACATTCCCAGCAGGACTCATCCTGGGCACTGAGGAGCTGAGGTTCAAGTGAGGTTGAGTGTCTTGAAAATTGGTTATCAGCCAACTACTAAAAAGAGGAGGAAGGGGAGGAAGACATGTAAGCAGAGAAGACATGTAAGTAGAGATGCGTGCAGATGTTACTGCCTTCTAGGAGCTATATTAAAATGTAAATTATAGTTAATGTCATCTTACAGGGAATAAAAGCTCTTGAAATAAATGTCCTATTTTAAGGTAATGGTGAACTGCTGTGAGTGCACAGCAGAAGTCCTTTTATAGGCTGTAATTAGCAGCCAGGTTCTGGCTGTTGCCTCCTTTGGCAGCTGAAGGGAAAAAAAAAAAGCATTTGATAGAAACTACCACAAACAAAATGTATGGAGCTGACCGGATCCCTTTCCCGCCTGAGCCATTAGCCCTTTCCCAGAAGATGCCACCATTCAGTGCGGTGTGTTACCAACATAGTTTCAGGAGAGGTTTGTAATCTGTCTGCCTCCATACAGGATTCATGGCAGTGTGGTTTCCTGGTTATCTGTCCAACGCAGCCTTATTTTTTGCATGAGTCAGGGGTTTGAGGAACTTCCAGATTTCATTTTCAGCTCCCTTCATCAAAATACTCTTCATTACTGGGTGTCGTGGTTTAAACCCAGCCAGACAGCTTGTTCACTCACTCCCCCACCTTTTCCTCCCTCTTTACTTCCTTCCCCCCCCCCCCCTTCCCTGCTCCCGGAGGGATGGGGAGGAGAATCGAAAGAATGCAACTCCCACGGGTTGAGACAAGAACAGTCCAGCAACCAATGTACAACACAGATCACCACCACTAGCACCAACGACAACAATGATAAGAGAAAATAACAAGGGAAGACAATACGATACCACCTGCTGAAAAACAAGTCTGACCCAGGAGACCCCGTGTCCTTCCGGGTAACTCCGTGCTGTGGTATGGAATACCTCTTTGGTCAGTCTGGGTCAGGTGTCCTGTCTCTGCTTCCTCCCAGCTTCCCCTCCTCCCTGGCAGAGCATGAGGCTCACAAAGTCCTTGGTCAAGGTAAACATTACTTAGCAACAACTGAAAACATCGGTGTTATCAGCATTGTTCCCAGGTTGAAAGTCAAAACACAATGCTGCACCAGCTACCAAGAAGGAGAAAAATTGACTGCTACTGCTAAACCCAGGACAGTGTCCACCCCTTATTTTATACCATTCACGTCATGCTCAGATCCCACATTTTCAATATACCATAGCTCTCACATATATATACATCCACATACACACACAGACTGAGAGAAAGAGATCATTTCTTAGTGCATGGACCAATCCCAATAATGCTGCTGAGTCCATTCAGTCCATGATGTCAGGTTCCATCTCTTGTAACAGCTTTTCAGGGCAGGAAAGGCTGTGTGCAATGTTGGATCATTGCTGGCTGATGCTGATTGTTCCTTTACTGCAGAACTCATCTGGTTGTATCAAAGTTCATTCTCTGTTGGGATGATGGTTGGAGGGAAGTGAGTGCCTGTCACTGGTGACCTGAAGACATCTGGTTGGTGGGCTATAAAAGTGCTACATAGCAGGCAACAGCATACAATTATGT